GGGGGTCGTGAGTTTTTTCTATTTTATTGACCTGTATTAGTTTTTTTATATTTTCGTTTATAAACTTTTCTTATTCTTTAATTTTTTTTTATTTTCAACGGATTACTTTTTTTTCTATTAGTATTGTTGCTTTGTTTTGAATTGTCTTTTCTATAATTATTGTTTTAATTTATTTAGCGTGTTTATTTATTAAATTTTTTTCTTTTTGGAATTATTTGTATACTTGTTTGTTTATTTTTAAATATTATTTTTTTGTTATTTGTTGATCTTTGGCTACCTGTTTTTGTTTTTGTGTTTTTGTGGACTTCGCATTCTCAGGCGTGGAGGGGCCTTTTTATTTTTCTCATTATAATAAAAACATGTTGTAATATGCAATATTTTATTTTAAAATATATGACCGACATGCACTCATAAGAATTTATTGAATTCATTTTTTTTTAACAAGTTATTTCATTCCACAGTTCTCACGTGCACGGTTTTCGGCGGGGCCCCTTTAGAAAAATATTTTTAAGTGCTGCTGTCGCTATCTGATGAAGTTGTCGTTTGATCTATGAATCAGAGAGCATATGCTAGATATTTAAGTTATTGGCTCATTACCGCTCTATGGTCCATTTTCGCGGCTTTATCCGACAGGCGATTTTCCAGGATGAGTACTGTTGATGGGTTTAATGGAATGGTGTGTTCGCGGGGGTGAGGCAAGACTACGCACGTTTTCCCTTATTATTGCATGCTGCTTGAATATTATGATTTATGAAGTATCGTATTTTCTATTAAGCTTGTTGTTGGCTCTTCCTTCTGGGCTTGCCTCCCTGGCCTGGTGTTTGGATCCGACACAATAGCCGGGCTCCAAGAAATTACCCTACGGGGGAAATTGCGCGGGAATGTGGTTGCGATAATTTTGCAGGGGTGGGATGTCTTCACCAGTTAGGGGGTTAAAACTCTATTATGGCATCTATTGGGCAGCTATTCAGCGCCGTGGGTCGTATAGGGTTCTATTAATCGTTTGCATTGCTCAGGGCGGGGGGGTGGGGGTCCTCTTTATCTTGGCGGGTAGGGGGCGTGTGGGTCCCCCACGAATATCCAGAATAAATCCCTAGGGTGCTTATTTTTACTATTATCGTTATTATTTTATGGGATGGATTATTTCCTTGTGCAAAGGGGAGGAATTTTACAAGGATGGCGTTTGTAAAGTGCTTCCCTTCTTTATCATGAGTATCTGGAGTCGGGGCGTTGTTTATTCGCTTAAGCTTGTGTGGGGGCTGGGTTTCACCACCTTTCCTTGGAAGTTGCACCTGAGATGAGTAGGCAGAGCCTATTGAAATCATATCACCATAACGCCAGGGAGGCATTCAGATCGTGGATCTACATATGTTCACAGGCTGGATAATCATGTGGTGATATGAGAAATTTGTGTGCGATATCGTTAACTTTGATTTTCTCTCTACTGCCTTTCAAGAGGATTACAACGACGCAGTATGAATTTTTTTTCGTATGTAATATAAAATATTATCAGAGAAACAATTAATTTTTACATATACGAGAGTATTTTGACGAATGTTTCTTTGACATTTTTATTCATACATATTCAATTCTTGCCTAATGCATCCTAGATAATTATAAGGTGCAACGCGTGTTTTACTTCTTTAATATATTTTTAGTAGCGCTTCCAATTACATAGAAATTTATGATGATCCATACTAACTGTGGTATCGACCAAAAAGCTTTACATAAAGTAGGAACATTATTTTTTGTTGACGGAATTCTGAGATCCCTATCAGACAAGGATATCGAAAAATATTTCTCTGAATTTGGTGATGTTGACTATTTTTTACTATGCCGTGACGGAAAAGGTAGATCATTTGGCTATGGTTGGCTTCATTTTCACGCGCCTATTCAAAATTTACAAGTAGAACATGTTGTGCGCAATGTCACTCTAAGGGTCCAAAATGTTGTGACACCCCAACAAGCAGATAGTTTGCTAAATAAAATAAAAGATTCGAAAGAAATGTCGAATACCGCACAACCTATTTTTAGAGATAAACGTTCATTAACACCAAGTTCTTCACGTTCACTTTCAAGCGACAAACCTTACAATAGACGTCGTCATGAAACTCCATCCAAGGAAAGTAGTGTGGAGTGCTCTGATGCTCATAAATTTAACAACAATAATACTGAAATACTTTCTTCGACGTATCCCGAAGTGCAGGTTTTAAAATCTTCCGTTGTTTGTGATACTAGCGTTTACGTGTGTATTCCCATAGCCCTTTGTCCGAAAGCCTTTCTTGCTGACCCACAAGTATTTTGTGCTCGTATGGATGCGAGTTCTCCAGGTTTTTTGACTGCTTTAAATTATCAGAATCAGCCATTACAGGTAAATATGTCCAATCCTTCTATTCCTCCACAATACTATTCTTACAATGGTCAAGCGATGAATTTTTCGTATCAGACAGGTGGGATTCCCATTAGTATGCATCCTCAGATGTATACAGGCGGATATGTTGGCATGCAGCTACAAAATCCACCACCACCTGGACCACCACCTAACACAAATGCTATTTAATGCAGATTTTTTTTGTTAACAAAAAAATTATCGATTGCGAAAAAAAATAGCGCTCTGTTTTTAGTGAGGTGCTTTAAATCTAAATAAAAATGAACATGAAATAAATATGAAACACACAAATTTTTGGAACTTAATAGTTCTTTTCACGATTAAAAATATTAAACCATTTCCTAAAAAAAAAAAGAATGGATTGAATTTAAAGGATTTAATATCGTTGATTTGAATCGAGTAGTTACTAAAATAAACTCGGTGCTATAAGGTTTTTCCTTTATTTGGAATGAAAAAAATGTGCTGTGAAATCCATTTTTTTTTTACACTTCTAACAAGGATAATTATTTTGTAAAAAGACTCTCATCAAAAATAAAAAAACATTCTATTTTTCAAGAATATACCTGTTATACTCATTATCATGGAGATACTTTCAAGTTCTATTGTAAAGGCAATTGCGTCGCGCATTGACACACACTACCCTCTTGTTCATACGAAGGAGTTGGACTACGGGACATCTGGCATTAGAACAAAAGGTGCCGTTTTACCACCAGTTTCTGCACGCCTTGTATTTATTGCAGTGCTTCGTGCCTGGTCATGCGGATTGAATTCTACCAACGAGTTTGTTCAACAGCGGGGAAGTAGAATTGGCTTTATTATCACTGCTTCACATAATCCATCAGATGATAATGGCTTCAAAATTATTGATTCAGATGGAGGGATGTTGGAATCCACATGGGAGGTGTGGTGTAAGAAAGCCGCTAACGCAAAATCCGGGAATGATTTAATCAAAGTGCTTGAAGAATGTATAAGAGAAGAGAAAATTGTTTTCCCCTTAAACTTTTCGATCTCTTATGCATCCATTCTTTTTGGTCGAGATACGAGGAGAACTGGATTATCTATTCTTGACGCGGCAAAAGACATGCTTGATAACTTTTTAAAGGTGCCATATACTGATTACGGTATAGTAACAACGCCCGAGTTACATTATATTGTCTCAAAGCTCAATGAGGAGGTTGGGAAGCCAGTACCAGCAAAGATTGAGATTAAATCATACCACGAGAGTATTTTAAATGCTTTCAACCGCCTCATGAGCCTGAATTTGAATGGAGCGCGTAAGAATCAACACGATCTTGTTATAGATACATCCAATGGAGTGGGCTATTATGGCTTGAAGCGTCTCATTTCATTTTCTGAGAGTCTTTTCAATCAAGACATTCTAAAAAAATATTTCAATGTCGTTTTGTTAAATACAAACGTTGAACAAATCGACGATTTGAATTATTTATGTGGCGCTGAGTTTGTCCACAAAAAAGATTGCCCATCTGATGAGATGAATCAATGGGCTCTTGACAATCACAGAGAAAATAGATGCGTTCATTACTACAGTCTTGATGGGGACGCGGATCGCTTAATCGCACTCAACTACAATTCCATATCAAACAAAGGAGAAAAGAAGTGGCACATTATCGATGGCGATCGGATGTCTGTTCTCTATGCTTTGCTTTTGCGCGAATGGCTTGGTAGTGACGTCTTAGAGTTATTAGACGTTGGTATTGTCCAAACAGGATATTCTAACGGTGCAGCAACCAGATTCATTGAGGAGGAGCTTAAGATGAAGACATTTGTAACGGCCACAGGTGTGAAGAATTTGCACCCTGTTGCACATGAGCTTGATATTGGGATTTATTTCGAAACAAATGGACATGGAACTGTGTTATTCCGTGACGGTCTTGAGAAGAAGTTAGAGGGGAAAATATCAAGCCAAAAGGCTGAATTCATTCATCTAATACTCGAGACCGTCCCATCGCTGCTTTCTCAAGTATGTGGAGATTCGATTGCAGACATGCTGATGTGTGAAGTAGCCTTGGATGCACTACAGCTCTCTCCTCTTCAGTGGGTTCAGATATACGACACCAGACCGTCCATTCAATCTACAATTACTGTTCCGGATGCTTCTGTTATCACAAACACTAAGGATCAAACTCGTGCGATCACTCCTGAAGGCCTTCAGGAGGAAATCGATGACATCGTTAACACTGTCGAACGAGAGTTTCTTGGTAAAGATGGAGAACAAGGGATGACTCGTGCTTTTGTGCGTCCGAGTGGAACAGAACCTATCGTTAGGATTTATGCAGAAGCCAATACCCAAAACGCCTGTGAATTGTTAGAAAAAAAAGTGAGAGCTGCAGTTATTAAATACTGCGGATGAATATATCGTCATAACCGTATTTTAGTTAAGATATTCAAAAAAGTTTTTTTTTAAATATAAAGTTACTTTAAGGAAAAATGGAAGAGATTTTATTTTATACCTACTGTACACTTTGGTTGAGAAACTTACCAAAAGGGAATAAGTATTTTTTTTTCGTTTACTTTTGAGAACAAAAACGGATGAAGTTTTGGGCACGATCACGGTAACCTCAAAGGTCAAATATTTTAATCAATTTACAATATTCTCTTTTCACAAGAACTTCTTTCTAGTAATTTATTTTTGTTAGAAATCATGGGCCATGCCTTCGTGTATAAATTTGAAGTCTAGTGGTAACTAAGAAAAAGGCTTGAAGCAATTTAAACATGAATCAAGGCACTGAAGCCTCTTATCATGGGACATGAGGATAAGTTATATTTCACTAAGAAGGTGGATTATTTCACTGATCGGAATCGCTTGGCTCATAGTATTGTAAGCTAGCGCGATGACACTTCCGTACATACATCTATCGCCAAGGCAATTGATTTTGAATAAACCCCTTTATCTTTTTTGCACAGCTCTTCATTTTCCATGTCGAGAGCCTTGATTTTATTAGTATTCAAGGCGTGCAGTCCTAGCTATTCCTTCATTCCAATTCACAACATTGACAGTACAGATACGCTCAGCTATAATGGTTCCATGTGCGTGTTCTTCTTAATGAGTGCTGTATGACATTTAGACCCACTCCTTTCCTTTAACGCATCTACCGTAGCTTTCTCCCATAGCAGTAGTGCAACCTCCACTATTGCACGACATGCAATTTGGATACCTGTGCTGTGCTGGAGAGGGTGACTCTTATCGTCCAATCACGGAAATGTGCACTCCTGCAAAGTTTCCGACACTGCCGCTCACTTCACGCTTTTTCATCATGCATAGCGACGGTTATCTTGCGTTCAAAAAAAGAGGTACTGTGGGTAGGTTCTACTACGACAATATGCAAGGCAAAGCCACATCCCACTGGTTTCTTCGCCTTTCCTAAAGTCTGGGCTGCTGCCGTATTTAAAAGAGCATTATTCTCAAAAGAAGGGTTCATTTTTTTAGGACACCCTTATCAAGTGAGTTCAACGGACACCATGAAGTCCTCTATGCTTGCGCGTTCATAGCATAGGATAGACAGAGGAACAGGGGAAGCAGGCAAGAATCTAATCAGGAATATATATATATGTATATAATGGTCATGTTGTTGGATACAAGAGACATTTTTATTTTTTCGTACATATAAACATTACTGTTGCTACTTTTTTTATGAAGATTTAAGCAGATTTTGATTTATTTCTATAATAAATTATTGATTTCTAAAAAAGCAGTATGAAGAAAGCAAAAGTGAATCACAAGTCCCAAAAGGATGGCGTGAGTGCTGGATGCTGATTGTCTCTGCTGTTATGCAAAAGAGTGCTACTTTCAATATTCTTTTTGTCTGCTCTCTTTCCCTCCTTGACCCTTTTGTTTGGTTAATTTTATAGAGGATGCGGTTACTGTTGATACGTATTCAGAAACCTTCGGCATTTATTAGCTGGATCAATTTTGTTTATATCGAAGCGAATGGTAGCTTTTTTATTCCTTTGACCTTTCCTCTACAAGATTCATATACAATCTGCTTATATATGCTGATATGACTATTTATCCACATTCAATTCTCTCGACATTTTGTGAGGTGACTTTCATCATTGTAGCGTTATATATGTGTAGAATAACTATATTGTCCCTTTTTTCCTCAAAGTTCTGGTGCTTTTTTTACATGGTCACTGAAGTACTTGTCATCTATTAATCAAATTATTATTCTTATAAAATCACTGCAAAACAACTACAACCATACAAAAAAACACAATTAAGTCCCTTGAAAATTTAGGAAGCGTTCCTCTGAGATAGACGCAAAAATACTCACTATGCCACGTCCTATTATGCGTTTGGCGAAGGAGTTGAAGGAGGCTCAGACCAATCCCGACCCCGACATCCACCTTGAGCTCTACGATCCCCACAAGCAGCCTACCCCTACCCCCGCACACGCGCTCAGCCCCAGCGACTACGGCGACGACGGCCCGACCCTCCCCCCTCTGTCCAGCGGCTCGCATGACAACCTCTTCACGTGGCTTGCCGTCCTGCAGGGCCCTCCTGATACTCCCTTCGAAGGGGGCTCCTACCGCCTTCTCCTGCGCGTCCCCCGGGACTACCCGATGATTCCCCCGACGGCGCACTTCCTGACGCGCGTCTTCCACCCCAATGTGTCCTTTGCGGACGGGGCAGTCTGTCTGGACATCCTCAAGACGCGGTGGTCGCCGGCGTGGACGCTGAACTCGGTCTGCCGCGCGATCTTGAACCTCATGGCGGAGCCGGACTCCGATAGCCCGTTTAACTGCGACGCGGGGAATCTGATGCGGGCGAACGACAAGGAGGGCTACACGAGTATGGTACGCATGTACGCGATCATGGACGCGGGGGCACCACCTTTCAAGGACGAAATTTAAGGAAAGGGTGGCTGGTGTGTGTGTGTATGTCGGTGGGTGTGCTTGGACGAAAGAGTGGAGGAGGGGGCAAGTGCTTTTTTTTTTGTGGGAGAGAGGACAAAGGATGTGCAGTATCCAACGGGGATCAACCGAGGGAAAAGAAGGGCTGATGGACATTGAGTTTATCAGAACCCAGTATTCTCTTTAATTAAGGATCCTCTTCCTTTTTAGTTCTTTCGTGGGTTGTCATCTTTTTTTTTGGAACAAGGACATTAAAAACACTAAACATGCAAGCAAACTAACTTGCAATACAAAAAGAAGATTGAATCCTTACTATTGCTTATTTCTCCTTCTATCAACTGTACGTACCACTTGCAGCTTCTTTGTCTGGAGCGCTTTTTTTTATGTGTGTGTTTGTGTGCGTATATGTGCCAGGGGAGAATTTAACATTCTTCTTGTGGTTACTTATATACGCTCACATTTGTCGTGTGCACTAATTCGTTTTTTTCATGTAATCATGGGATTCATTACCATATAAAATGTTACCCCATTTTATATTTCCTCCCATGTATTTTAGAATGTTCAATGCTTCTTTTTTATCCCACACTTTTTTTTGATTTAATGTGAAAATCGTCATTTTGAACGTACGATAGCCTTTGCATTTCATCATACATATATTAGAGTAATTTAATAACATCATAGTCAATTCAAATAACTATATTGCTATTATTGCATTTTTACCATCCTCGTTTTGCCGAAGCTAACATAACAACAGCGATCGTCATCTTTCAGAGAGAATAGGGAGAGAGTAAAGTACCTTTATCATATTCGAAAGTATACCATGTCCTCAGAATACGACTATCTCTTCAAGCTATTGCTTATTGGCGACAGCGGCGTAGGGAAGTCCTGTCTGTTGTTTCGTTTCGCCGATGACAGCTACACCGAGAGCTACATTTCCACCATTGGGGTGGACTTCAAGATCCGTACCCTGATGCTCGATGGGAAGGTGGTGAAACTGCAGATTTGGGATACCGCCGGGCAGGAGCGCTTCCGGACGATTACTAGCAGTTACTACCGCGGTGCCCACGGCATCATCATTGTCTACGACTCCACAGACATGGAGAGCTTCAACAACGTCCGGACGTGGTTGAACGAGATCGAGATGTACGCGAGTGAAAATGTGAACAAGCTTCTGGTAGGGAATAAATGTGATTTGGTTGCGAAGCGGGCGGTGCCTACCGAGTTGGCGGAGTCGTTCGCCAAGGACTTCGGAATTCCGTTTCTGGAGGCAAGTGCTAAGAACTCGACGAATGTAGAGGAGGCGTTTGTGAAGATGGCGACAGATATTAAAAACCGCTTGGCTATGAGCGGAGCGTCTGGCGCGGATTCTAGGCAGCAGAACCGCCCAGATATGCGCAAAGCCATCCCTGAGAGTAAATCATCGGGCTGCTGCTAACTCGCAATTCTAAGGGAGAATATTGAAAGGTTTTAGACAGTGGAAAAAGGCAAAGAGGGCGAGATTTATGTTTTATTTTATTTCCTTCTTTTGTAGGTGCATTCCTGAAGGCTAATACTTTTTCTTATTCGACAGAAGCTGTGTTTTTAAAAGAAATGGAAATCTGATTCTTGCTAAATATAATGTTGTATTTCAACTTTAAAAATTTCAGTATTGTTGCATTTTACCGTCATATTATTACTGTTATTAATTAGGAATTTTTTATTGCTTTAAGAAAATTTTGTGATTGAGAAAAAATATATTATTTGAATTCATTTTTATTTTTGCTCTCAAAGAATTGAACTTGTTGGGGACGCTTCTTTTATCGAGCTTCGTAAGAAGACTAAACTGAGATTGAGAAGGTATAGCAGAAAGATTGCCGAGGAGGTGAGGTTTAATGGATGAGTTGACAAATCGAACCTGCAATAGTGACTGTTTGGAGTGAAAACAAAGGAGTCACCCTTATAATGATATCAAGTTATTCTGGCTTCGGAGCAGATTATTTACTACCCTTAATCAGAAACATGTGTTGTGGTTTGCATATAAGCGAATGCATATGAACATATATATATATATATATATATAGTTTGCAACACTGCAATGGGTGGTGGGCGGGTCGTGTGTGCACATATATATATATATATATACAAGCCATTATAGTCTGAGGTGCACGAAAATAATGCGCATATGGGTTGTCATAGCTGATTGTATTTTTCCTGAAGAATATGGGAAAAATTCTTGAGACACATACGTATAAGCTCATGAACCTATGCAGAAGAAATCGAGACGAGTTAAAAAAATGAATCCAAGGACAACCCAATGGATTTTAAGCTATATTATTATCATTATCATTATAAGGTTAGAATTACTATACGATTATGAGGGGAAAGCTAAGACGTTCTACGAAAATGGGCTAATAACGATAAATAAGGGGTTATATATCTAGAGAGAAAAAATAAAGTTGAGTATTTCACTTGATCCCTTTGTCCTGCGTTATCTTTTCTTCTTACTGTATGCTGGGATTTTCATTATTTTGAAAATTTTTTTTTATAGGAGACAATGCGACGTGCGTTAAGTTACCCCAAAAAGCTTCATGGGGGAGAAAACACTACCACCCAAAACAATAAAGAAGGGTGCCGACTGTTAAAATGTGTGTTGGATGGCGCTGAACAAGCAATCATATTTTACATTACATAACAAAAATTCCCTATTCTCCCTATTTCGCTTCCCTTTTTTTCTATATATTTATTTTTATAAATTACAAATTATAACCAAACACACACGTTGGAGTATTACAAAAGGTATATTGATTCATTTCAGCTAGGAAAGAATCGCAAGCTACTTTTTCTGTTTGTTCATCTATTTATATGCATAGAGGCCAATTAAAAACAACACGCAAGCAACATAAAACGTAGCGAATAGGTAGATACGTTTTCTCATATTTGTATTACGACGTAGGTTGTAAGTTCTTTTTTATCTTTTTTTTCAAATTTAGTAACTCAATCCATTTAATATATTCTCATAAAAAGAAATACAAAATTAAGACAGATTGTTTGCTTCTGGAAGTAATTATATCGAGGATCGAAAACAATTAAATTTCAAAAAGATTGTTTTGTTTTTATTATTATTATTCATTTCGGTTGAAAATTAGGAGTATAAATACGACAAAATAAGCAGCACAGGGAGTCCAACCTTAGGGCACCATATATCAGTCTTACACGCACACCACACACACATACACGCGCACTAACATATTTTTAATTTATAGAACGAAGGTGCGGCTACTGTGAAGCTCGTTTTTGGTAAAAACTTTTAGTTGTTTGCTGTGCTATATTTGTGATCTTCATTTTTCACTTTTTTCTCTTCTTTCATCCTGCTGTTAAGTCTTCTTTTGGTTCGTATTTGTTCCATTCTTTCCCTTCGTTGTATAACTAAATAGCTGTTGCTTAGGAAAAAGGGCATTAAACTCACAGTAAAAGGTAGTATCGAATTAAACAAGTATTCATATTAAAGGCAAAGAAAGCCTCCGTTAACTATAACAAATAACTAGTAATTGTAACGTATAACCGAAGGCAAAGAAACGAGCTTAGCAATAATTTTTTTTCCTTTCACTTCTTGGAAATACTTCTTCTGCCTTTGATTTTCCCATTACTACTGTGTTACAAGTCTTTTGTCTTTAGTTCTCTTTATTTCTTTCGCAATACATACTTATCATTGGTTTTCTTTATTGAAAGAACCGTAAGTAAAAATTTATTTCTGCAATAAAGTAAGTAGTAAGCACACATATATATTCACGTATACATATAGATACATATATCCATATCTATATATATCTATATCTATCTATCTATCCCATAAGGGGAAAGCATCATAAATCGATTACAGTTTTTTTTGTTCAATATCAATTGTTAACTCTCGTTTATTCGACTTGTGTCTTACCTTTAAGGAAGATTTAAATTTGTGTCTTACCATAATAAGAGGTTGAGTAAGACTAACTATTGGACTTACTGTTATATTTATATAAAGAAAAATATTTAATTTTTTTGAGTTCCCTTTTTTGTAACTGTGTACGTGCGTTTGAAACCGCGTTTATCTCTGTTGAGTTTTATTCTTATAAAATTTGTGACCCAACTTCATTTTCCCGGGTGGAATTCATTTTTTCCATTTTTTTGTGTAATTAACTTTTTTTTTACCCACTTAATTTCCCTGAGTGTATTTTTTGTCTGATTATCAAAGCTATTTGGACCTCGGCTTTCAGGATTTTTTCCGCGAAGGTAAAGGGTGTAAAGGGAGTGATCTATTAGTATTCCTATTTTGTCTTTGGTTTGAGCTTTTCTCTCCTTGGTGTGTGCGCAAAAGAAGAAGTTGAACCTTAAAGTTGATATTAGTCAAAGCCACCTAGTGAGGCGATTATTGTTTTATTGGGGTTTGACCTTTTTATATATTTTAAAAGGGAAAACCGTGGTAAAGGCCTAAAGCCTTGGTTTCAGCTTTTATTTATTTCGCGTTTAGCAAAACTTCGTTTGAAGAAGAAAAAAGGAAGTATATAATTTTTGCATCTCATTTCATAAGAAATATCTAATTGTTTGTGATATCGAAAAATTCACCAATAAAAACTTTCTTTTCTGAATTTCAACTAAAATTATTCGTTAATACTTTTCTAGACTACACATTCACTAGTTTTTAACTTATATAATATAATAAGCTATAAATACATATTGTTGAGTTCTTCGTTATTTAAGTTATTGTTATTTTTTTTTTAGGTATATTGGTGAACTTGTGTGAACGTACATCTTCGCCAAATTTTGACAATCGGATAATTAACCAGCCGGAAAGTGTATAAGACTTCCTGTCTAGAAATACGTGTTTGGATTTTATTCCTAATTTTTTTGAGTAAATTTATTGTTGTTTTTCCGCGCTTTAGGCATTTTTTCACCTCTGTTATCTTCAATTTTTTTTGCTTGTGAGGTGTTTTTCTTCTTTCTCTCTCTCTCACTAAGTAGCCTCCTCAGCGTCAATCCCCCCGCTCTCTACTTGCTATTACTGTTTATTCATTTCTATTTTCACGCTACTAAGCAAACGCGCTTTGCTTTGCGTTATTTGCGATTAATTTAATTACTAATTTTTGTGCTGTTCGTTGGAGAAAAGGACGTGTTTTCTTTTAATTAATAGAAAGTTTTTCGAGGAGAAACATTGTACGTAAACAAATATAAAAGCCCCCAAAGGACGAAGAAACAACTTTTTCCTCTTTGTTCAGGGTAGCACTATTCAAGTTATACTCGAGGGCTCCGGTAAGCCGCATTCGTAAAGCCTTGGGAAGAATTATATATATATATATATATTATCTTCATTTTTGTGGCTCATAGTCCTGGGTTTCCTTCCTTGTTTTTTGGTTTTCATTCTACATTTTACCACATTGGTCGTAGGTGGAGGCAAGACACGAAAAAGTCAGGACTCCAATTATTCAGAGTGGCGAACGGGATCATACACATTTTTGTGTCTGCCGTTTTAATAAATTTACACTTTTTAGGAATTTCATCATAATAAAGCCTTTTTCCCCGAGAGCTTCATTTTCCCCTTACGTCTCTGAAAAAGGTATTTGGCTGTAAAATAAAAATACAGGACAGCAAACGATATTTAATTTGACATAGTATCTCTATCTTTTAATACATAATATTCAGCTTCAACGAATATTGGGCACGTATCCTTTCCTTGCATTTCATTTTACTTCCTTTATAAGGGGATACTCGCGACTTTTCTATTTTTGTGAAAATCGTTATCTATATATTATTGTTTGTGAGTTTTTACAACCCATCTGGACGCAAAAAAGCACTTGGAAGGCGTATTCTCTATCACTTGGAATACTACCCGAAGGAGAAAAAGTTTTTTCCCCTGCTTAAAGCTTCCCTGCGTGTACCCTTTTCCACGCATTACTTTTTGTTTTGCTTGTGTGAGCGGCTACACAGCTAAACCTCGTTTACCAAAGAGGACGAAAGCTCGGTTTCTTTATACGCAGTCGGAGGGATTTTTTCCATATGTTTGCGGCTCACTCATACTCCCAAGAGCAGCACCAACCGAGCCCGCAATTCGAGCCGGACGGTAAAAGCATGTACTCAACCGCGATGACGTTCGGGCTCTCGACGGACCCCGCCGCCAGCTATTCCCACCCCATCAGCCACACAAACACGAGGGGCGACGCGGACGTCAAGTCGTTGCACCCCAACCCGATGAATCTCGAGGACGACCTCTTCTTCGAGATCACGGAGAGCGTCAACAAGCAGATCTACGCGCTGGAGGAGGACGAGGACGGGGGGGCGCGCCAGGATGGGCCGGGGGCCCTGCGCCCGAGCGAGGATGCCAACACCCCCGGCGCCCGGAGCCGCCCCCTCCCCCCAGAGCTCCTCGCC